GCAACGCTCAGCGGCGGTGCATGGCAGCCATGGTGGGGCCTGTATGGCACTGTACGTGGGGGCCCCCCAAAGTTGCCCTGATTTGCCCCACCCTAGGGACAGCCCTGGGTGCACCTCTAGCTCAAGACAGAACATTTGTAGCAATAAATATAATTAGAAGCTGGAAATTAGAGGCTAGGAGTTGTACAAATGAAGTTAACAAAAGAACACAGGATACTACACATCCAGCAGGGTACAGGACTTCATTCTGAAGTACATCAGGAACAAAAGGAATCCTAATAAAAATAATTTATGGAATAATGCCTGGAAATTTATTTCCAATAATGAAAAAACAGAGAAGCATTCAATATATATTTATTTTCTGCATTTCAGAGGAAGCCAAAGGGTGTAACCCTATTAGATGAAACTATGATGACAAAATTATTTCCAGTAGCTAAGAAAAACATTAAATAGTAGTTGCTATCAAGTGAAACTGAAGTTCTGGAGAATTTACAGCCAAGTTTTAAAAGAGCTGCTCCAGAGCTAATCTGGAGCATTAATATTTATTTTCAGTAAGATTTGGAACACTAGGAAGTTCCAAAGAACCAGAAAAAAACCGCATAATTTATGTCAATATCCAAGAGAAAAGGATTAATGGGATGACCAGTCTGACTCTAAAACTAGGCAAAATAACAGATTAGCTGAGAGAAGATTTGATTAACAAAGAATTAATCACAGAGGGTTACAGAATTAATGCAACCAGCACAGGTTTGCAGAAAATAAATCTAATTTAACTTGATATCATCAACTAAACTTGTAAAAAAGTAATGATACTGATGCAACTGACTTCTGGTACTGCACACTTTGCTTAATAATAAAATAGAATGACACAAAATCAACATGATACACACAAAATAGATTAAAATGGGTAAGGCTCAAGGTGCAATTACAAATGGAGAAACATCACTGAGCAGATGTTTCTAGTGTAGTCTACAGGGATCAGGTCTTAGCCCCATGCTATTTAACATTTTTATTCATGACCTAGACTAAAACATAAAATCATTACTGATGAAGATTGCAGATGACACAAAGATTGAGTGACTGGCAAAAAATGAAGGGAACAGGGCACAGACACAGAGCTATCTGGATTACTCGATAAGCTCTGCTGAATCAAATTAACTATTTAAATACTGTCCGATGAAAGGAATACGCTTAGTAGGGGTGCAACACCGATAAAGATTTCTGCGGCTGATACCAATAGCCAATTTTTAAGGAGGCATCTCAGCCGATACTGATCTGATTTCCGATATCCAGCCCAGCAGCATAGAGAGCTGCCTTCAAGGAAGGTGTGGGGTTGGGGCAGGGGCTGAGGCAAGTGCTGCCCAGCTGGGGTGGGGTAGGTGGGTGCAGCATACAGCCGCTACTCATCCGGGGGGTGTGGGGAGGAAGGGGCAGCCCCTGCTGCTGCATGCCACTTATGAGGGAGCTGCTGGTCCGGCGGCTCATCCAGTGCTTGCCTGCTCATCCCATGGCCCCCACCACTGCTTTTGGAGGGCATGGTGGAGGGGGCGTGCCCCTGAATCTGTGCATGGGCCATTTGTCAGCCTGATATGGCCGATTTTCAATATAGTAAATTGTCTTTATATTGGTGCCGATCCGATATCGGACCGATGTATCGGTGCACCTCAAACATTTAGGAACAAGCGAACCTATATACTTATAAGATATCAGGCAGTAACGGAAAATAACTTGGTGGATAATCAGCTACATGTAGACTCGCATTATGATGCCATGGCTAATATGATCCTGGGCTATATAAGCAAATGACTACAAAGTAAACAGTCACCTGTGTGACTATTAAGCCCCTAGCACACATTACTTTTATGTCTCCATAAGGTGCTAAACCAGCCACAAAGATGTCCACATGAAATGAATTATTAGGATTAGGGATCAGATCCCATTGTCCCATTATCTGAAGGTCTGCAAGCATCATTACTGAAATACTACATCCCGTTCTCACATCCATGCTTCAAGAATGAAGCTGAAAAATTGGAAAGGATTTACACAGAAAACATGAGAATAACAGAGGGAAAAAATGGTACATAGAGACTGAAGGAACTCAACTTATTCACCTTGTTAAAGAAAAGGTTGAGGGGTAAATTGATCACATTTTACACACCTTTCTAAGGAAAACAAAGTTGATAACAGAGAGCTCTTAAATCTTGGTATCCGCTTGGTATCTAGTTCCTTTATGGTCTGCCTTGGTGCTGGAGAATCACTTAAGTCCCATGGGGTACCCAAATCCATTAGACATGCTTGGAGTATGCTTAGCTTGCACTGACAGCA